AACATATTCAGGACGCGGGCACAAGTGGCTCACTTCTGTAATCCCAGCAGTTTTGGAGGCCCAGGGTGGGCAGATCACCTGGGAGTCAGGAGTTCGAGACTAGCCTGGCCAACATGGTGAAATCCCATCTCTACTAAAAATGCAAAAAATTAGCTGGGCGTGGTGGCAGGTGCCTGTAATCCCAGCTGTTTAGGAGGCTGAGTCAAGAGAATCCACTTGAATTTGCGAGGAAGAGGTTGCAGCGAGCCAAGATCGCGCCATTGCACTCCAGCCTGGCAACAAGAGGGAAACTCTGTCTCAAAAAAAAAAAAAAAAGTCGCAGCTGGGCACAGTGGGCTCACGCCTATAATTTCAGCAGCTTGGGAGGCTGAGGCGGGTGGATCATCTAGGGTCAGGAGTTCGAGACCATCCTGGCCAACATGGTGAAACCCGGCTCTACTAAAAATACAAAAATTAGCTGGGGTGGTGGCGGGGGCCTGTAATCCAGTTACTCAGATGAGGCTGAGGCGGGAGAATCACTTGAACCTGGGAGGCAGAGGTTGCAATGAGCCGAGATCGGTGTCACTGTACTCCAGCTGGGAGATACAGTGAGACATGTTCTCAAAAAAAAAAAGTTTTATACACCACACACACACACACACACACACACACCACACACACATTATATATAGCTGTTCTAACAAGCCTTAGAACAATCATTGGTGGTTTAATTGCATTTCCCTAATTCAGTTGCAACTAATGATGATGGGCATCGTTTCATGTCTTTCTTTGCCATTCACATATCTTTCTTTTAATCAAGTATCCAAGTCTTTTACCCCATTTCAAGTTGGATTTGTTCTATTGGTGAGTTTGAGAGTTCTTTATAATTCTGATACAAGTCTTATCAGATATACGATTTTCAGTATACTCCCATTTTGTGGATTGTCTTTTCATTCTCTTAAGAGTTTCAAAAGTTTTTAATTTGATGAAAATCCAGTGTTTTGTTTCTTATGGATTATATTTAGGGTCATAGGTATTTCTTTCCATGTTTTCTTCCAGAAGTTTTAACTTTTGTATTTTATATTTATATTCACTTTTACTTAACTTTTTAGAAAGCATGAGGAATGGGACTAGGTTCAGTTTGTTGCATATAGAAGTCTAATTTTCCAGCACCATTTGTTGCAGGATTATCATTCTCCACTGAAGTGTCTTTGCACCTTATCAAAAATCAACTGATGGCTGGCATGGTGGGTCACACCTGTAATCCCAGCACTTTTGGAGGCCAAGGTGGGAGGATCACTTGAGGTCAGGAGTTTGAGACCAGTCTGGCCAACATGGCGAAACCCCATCTCTCCTAAAAAACAAAAATAACTGGGAATGGTCTTTGCACTGTGTATCCCAGATACTTTGGGAGGCTGAGGCATGAGAATTACTTGAACCAGGAGGTGGAGGTTGCAGTGAGCCAAAGACTGCGCCACTGCCACTCCAGCCTGGGTGACCAGCAAGACCTTGTCTCAAAAAAAAAAAAAAAAATCAATTGAAACTATTCATGTGCCTCTAATTATGGGCTCTCTTCTGGTCCATTGAGCTATATGTCAATTCTTTCACAAATACCATTACTGTCTCTAATAGTATGTAGTTTATTTATTTATTTATTTGAGATAGAATCTCACTCTGTTACCCAGGCTCGGAGTGAAGTGGCGCCATCTCGGCTCACTGCAACCTCTGCCTCCTGGTTCGAGGGATTCTCCTGCCTCAGCCTCCTGCGAGTAATTAGGGATTGCAGGCGGCCCACCACCATGCCCAGCTAATTTTTTGTATTTTTAGTCAGAGACCAGGGTTTCACCATGTTGGCCAGGCTGTCTTGAAACTCCTGACCTCAGGTGATCCACCCGCCTCAGCCTCCCAAAGTGCTGGGATTACAGGTGGTGGCCACGGCGCCCAGCCTAATGTATTTTATATTAAGATTAAATCAGGGTAGGATGAGTCTTCAATTTTATTACTATTGTTTTGTTTGCTTTGTTTTGTTTTTTGAGACAGAGTCTCACTGTCATCCAGGCTGGAGTGCAGTGGTGGCAATCACAGCTCACTGCAGCTTTGATCTTTTGGGCTGAAGCAATCTTCTCATTTCTGCCTCCTGAGTAGCTGGAACCACAGGCACAAGTCACCTCACCCAGCCTTTTTTTTTTTTTTGGTAGAAATGGGGTCTCTCCATGTTGCCTGGCTGGTCTCAACTCCTGAGCTCAAATGATTCCCCGCCTCGCCCAAGTGCTGGGATTACAGGTGTGAGCTGTTGTACCTGGCCTATAACTCTTTCTCAAAATGTTTTGGTATTTTATTTTCTTTGCTTTTCCATATACATTTTTTTTTTTTTTTTTTTTGAGACAGATCTCACTCTGTCCCCAGGCTGGAGAGCAATGGCAATGGTCCTGGTCACTGCAATCTCTACCTCCCGGGTTCAAGTGATTCTCTCACTTCAGCCTCCCAAGTAGCTGGGACTACAGGTGCGTGCCACATATCTGGCTAATTTTTGTGTTTTAGTGAAGATGGGGTTTCACTATGGTTGGCCAGGCTGGTCTCAAACTCCTGATCTCGTGATCTGCCTGACTTGGCCTCCCAAAGTGCTGGGATTACAGGCATGAGTCACTGCGCCTGGCCTGCTTTTCCATATAAATTTTATAATTTATATAGAATATTTATTTCTTTAAAAGTATTCTGGTGGTATTTTTATTGGGATTATGTTGCATCTATAGAAAGTAAAATGAGAATTGACATCTTCACAATATTGAGTTTCTGGTTCATGAACACAGTGTATCTCTTCATTTATTTAGGTCTTTAATTTCTTTCATCAATCTTTTGTATTTTTCAGCACAAAAATCTTGCAAATATTTTGTTAGTTTTTTACCTAAGTATTTTTGTGCAATTGTAAATGGTATATACCTAATTTTTAAAAATTTTAGTTGTTTATTACTGCTATATATGAATAATATCAATTTTTGTATATTGACCTTCATTGACCTTATATCCTGCAATAAGTGAGGTTTCACTTATTAGTTCTTGGAGCTTTTTAACAGATTCACTGGGATTTTCTACATAAGCCATCATATCATCTGTAAATAGAGGCGGTTTATAGTGTTTCTTTTTCTTCCAAATTTGTGTTTCTTTTTCTTGCTTTATCACACTGGCTAGGACTCCTAGTACAATGCTGAGTATGGGTGATGAGAATGGACATCTTTGCTTTATTCCCAATCTTAGAGGAAAAGCTTTCAGTCTTTCACCATTAACTATGATGTTAGATGGTAGGGTTTTGTTGTTGTTGATGTTAGATGTCCTTTATCAGGTGAAGAAAATTTCCTTCTATTTCTAGTTTGTTGCAAGTATTTACCACAAATGGAGATTATCACAAATGTTTTTACTATACCTATTGAGATAATTGTGTGGTTTTTCTTTTGTATGCTCTTAATATAATAAATTACATTTTTGACTGTGGAGCCAGCCTTGCATTCCCAGGATACACCCCATTTGGTTGTGATGTTTTATCTTTTTAACATATTGCTGAATTTGATTTGCTAATATTTTGTTGAGGACTTTTGTGTCATTTGGTTGAGGATTTTTTTCATGGGAGATACTTGGTCTGTAGTTTTTTCTGTCATTCATTTATTCTTTCTCTCTTTTTTTTTGAGACGTAGTCTCACTCTGTTGCCCAGGCTGGAGTGCAGTGGCCGGATCTCAGCTCACTGCAAGCGCCACCTCCCGGGTTCACGCCATTCTCCTACCTCAGCCTCCCGAGTAGCTGGGACTACAGGCACCTGCCACTTCGCCCAGCTAGTTTTTTGTATGTTTTAGTAGAGATGGGGTTTCACTGTGTTAGCCAGGATGGTCTCGATCTCCTGACCTCGTGATCCTCCCATCTCAGCCTCCCAAGGTGCTGGGATTACAGGCTTGAGCCACCGCGCCTGGCCTATTCTTTCTCTTTTTTCTTGTACTATCTTTGGTTTTTGTGCCAAGATAATGCTGAACTCAAAAGATTGTTTTGGGAGTATTTTCTTTTTCTTTCTTTCTTTTTTTTTTAGACAGAGTCTTGCTCTGCCACCCAGACGGGAGTGCAGTGGTGCAATCTTAGCTCACTGCAACCTCCACCTCCCAGGTTCCAGCAATTCTCCTGCCTCAGCCTCCTGAGTAGCTGGGACTACAGGCATGTGCCACCATGCCCAGCTAATTTGTGTATATTTTAGTACAGATGCGGTTTCACCATATTGGCTAGGCTGGCATCAAACTCCTGACCTCATGATCTGCCTACCTTGGCCTCCCAAAGTGCTGGGATTACTGGCGTGAGCCACCACGTCCAGCCTATTTTCTTATTTTCTATTTTTTGGGGGAGATTGTGTAAAATTGGTGTTACTTTTTTCTAAACATTTAGTGGAATTCAATACTGAAACCATCTGGATCTAGAGTTGTATTTGTTGGAAGTTTTAAAACTA